GGGCATCATCCCATGTCTTACCTACAATTAGTCCATACAAAAAAAATCTATGTAGGGATGACACCCTGTACCCTGGGTCTGAAGTATTGGACACGCAAACCAGGCTTTAACGGCACTGATTTCTAAACTGAAAGAACAAAATGTCATCTCTGAGCATTTGGAAGGGGTGCTAACTCTGTGGCAGTAAGCACAGTATGTTGAAAAAAAAGACACCCATCTCCAGTCCCTGGTATTTTGAGGGAGACTCACCTGTGAACCCGTGGATTGTCATGCCAAACAGTGTTGAGCTTACTGGGACAATGGTCTGACACAGTATGCTCCAAAAAGCAGCCAGGGCGGGGGGGGGGGCAAGAGAGAAAAAGAAGCATTCAAGGAAGGCAGAATCTGTGATCCTGCTAGTACACATTTGGAGGAAAGCAGTAGATCTACATACACAGGTATGAATGAGGGTGGCATTGTATGCATGGATGCTGTAGATTCTGCAAGAAATCGTTACATATATTCATGGTGGAAATGTAAAAAGAATTCAGCTGTGGCACTTTATCAGCATCTAGTGGTGTACAAGTGAAGGACATATGTGCAGAAGTCAGCCAGAGACCTGTATTCTGAGGAGGGAACAAGGTGTAACCTAAAGCAGCTATTGTGTAGAGCCTTCCTGAACGTCTGTGCAGGCATGTATAAGGTTACACCATTAGGGAGTAACACCTATTGGTTGGATTTGAGAGGAACCTGTGTCGCTCCAAGTGTTATGGGAATGCAACTTCTACCAGCCCTAGACTGTGTGGCTGACACCAAGAGCAGCAGTCCAATAACATTTGGAGTTCCCTCTCTTGACCTCTTGCTATGGATGGGCAGTGCCCTGTGTCTCATGAATGGACAGGAGAGTAACAGGCCTATATGCACCACCCTTTCTGTAATCTTTTCCGCTGCCTCCACAGGGAACTTTCTGATTGACAGCACCAGCCAGCTTGTGTCCCTGCTATATGCATGTCCTTTGCTCATGCCCTATATTTCAGACATTATAACCTTTCTTCAGAGGGAAGCTGCATTTTGGTCATTTTGGCTACCTTGCTTTACACCTATACAGTAATATCCTTTTTGAAGTACGGCAAGAACTGAAAACAGCATTCCAAACAAAACTTGGAAAAATACTGGTTTTTTAAAATAACTAGTTATGGAATATAATTAGCTACACTTATAGCTCCAAGTAGTTAGTAATGGTTAATTATAGTATATTTTTTAAAAAACAAAGCATAATTCTTTCCTGTTTCTCAACTGGGGATCAGAATGCTGCAAGCCACTGATGGGCAGTACAAAACACTCTCTCTTCCCATGCATCTCATTGTCACTTTAACACCCACAACAGAACAACATCTGCCGCATAAATCCTGATTTTTTTCCGCCATTTAGTGAAGCCACAATGCCTCATTATAAAAGAAACTACGGCTGGAATCCTACTCGTGTTTGCCTAATTTGCCACTGGCAACTGTGCCCTGCCACCTCATCAAGTAGCTGCTGCAATTTTTGCAAAACCTAAGCAAATGGCAATAGAATCCTGGTCTCAAAATTACACTGTTCCACTTGTATATTGGAAAAGGAGTTCTGTTATCCCTCAGTAAGTTGCAAACATAATATAACTCTGGATTATTGTTATTATTATTGAGATGAGCTATTAATTACAAGTAAATGGTTGTTTTGGTAACTGGTTATTTCCAAGTGCTATGTGTGGCCACACCATATCTGTTACATGAATTCTGTAGCTGCCATTTCCCAAATCATTTGACATCTAAATGTATGTGGCAACTCATGAATAAAATAAAGGATTTAAAGTCAAGACATGGAGCAGAGAGATGACTACTAACTACTGTTAACAGTACGGTCCGGTGGACAGAACGCCAGACCAGGAAGTGTTCATTACTTGATTTTTTATTATTGTAAGAATGTTATTTCCAGAAAGGAAGGAGGTCTTCAATATATCCTCTACTGCAGGTGCCAAAATAACTTGGCTGGTTTTGGTGACTATGCACCCTGACTTGGATGGGAGGGAACATTTGCCGCTCTGCCTAAAAAAAAAGAAAAAAAAACTCTGGCCAGTCCTTCCACATTCCTTCAACCAATCAACACTTAACTGACCCTAAGCAAGTTGTTGTAAAGGTAAAGATATATGTATCTCTTCCTAAATTCTCTGGAGAAAAACTATTATGAATGTGGTATTGACAGACCACTGAATGAGAAACAGCATATATTTTCATGACAAATGCAATTGTGGCATGTGGGTTATTTATTGAAGATGCCTTGTAACAGGGCACTTCTAATTTGTGTGAAGTGCTGAGAATCACTGAGGACTCCCTGCATTTGCAGATTCTTCTGGCACACTCCTGCATTCATGCACAGACATAAATTCTTTCAGTAGAACAATAAGATGATCACAAAACATCATCTACTTCATCACAACCACAATCCAGTGAATTCAAGAATGAGTGAGTGCTTACCTGGTACCAAATAATGGACTTTAAATGCAGGCCTGTGAAGAAGCTAGATGTTGCTGGCAGAAATTCACAAAACTCACAGAGACATTGCCCACATGCTCACCAGATGCCATGTTTTCCTCCTTATCCTTACATTAACCCTAAGTCCCAGCTGTCCTTAGGTATGGTGAAAGAAGCCAGTTTCCATCTTGTCCTTTCCTTCAGGCAGCAAAGTATTTTGAGCTGGGCCTGGTTCCCTTACTACTAGGAAATAGGAAACAAGGAATAGCACCTAAAAAGCAGGAACTATGGGGAACAAGTCAAACTCACACCTCAAATTGCTCCCAGTGCTATCTGTACAAGTATGGGCAAAGGTCCAATTGTCAGTCAACCATCTCTGAAACAAACCAGGCATACTTTGTCAGTCAGAGCAACTGCTCTCAAGACAATGGGAAAAGGATAGTCCTGATTTCTTGATGGGAAGATGATGGTTTGTTTGAAGAGCTACAGAAAGAAAACAGATTATCTATCTAGCACAGGATATAAAATACTGTGCATTAGATTTTCATCCAGTGAGAATGCGTTGCTCATCATGTGTTTTTGTGAATATATTGTAAATATATATTTCAAATTGTAGACTAGACTAGAAAGAAATACAGGTTTTGCAACAGAGCTGAGGCATGCCTTGCAGATCATAATTGAATCAATTAAGACAGATGTATTCCTTATTAAGTCACATAGTGTATAGAAAGGGAGAAGTGGGATTCTATTCCCATTCAACTGTCAGCTTTAAAATGGGCAGCCTTTAACACTTGTTTTTAGACAATCAATTCAACAGCTATTTCACTTACAGTATTTTGGCCCCACTCAGATGAATGATTAGCTGCACCTTTTACTCATACATTGGGGCAAGAAAACAAATAAGTGATTTATTACCATTCATCAGACATGCAGTCTCCACATCCAAGGTAAAGCCAAGCTTTGATTAGATAAGTAAAAGCACCTGCTTCCACCTCTTGAACTGACATCCACAAAAAGCAACAGTGCATTAATATCTGTGTTCATAACTGCTCCTGCAAAGTCAAGTCTCTTAAAGCGTTTGAATCCCAGAGCTCATCAACATAATTGTTTACAGTTCTTTGTCCCACTTCTGTTTGGGTAGCCCCATAGCTTTCCTATCACTGCATACATGGAGCCAAGGTAAGTCTGGGAACCTGAAGCTGTAAAGAGATTCTCACTTTCCTGTAAACCAGCCATTTTCAACAGGGGCCACATGGCCTCCTGGAACATTTGAAGGGAGCCACAGACTGGAAACAACTCTTCACACACCATCTTATAAGGTTCGTTATTAGAGATGGGTGTATTTGTATACAAATATGAATATCCCCCAGATAACGAGGGTGCAGATAACGAGGGTCCGCCCCCCTGGGGCCAAACCGACCACTCACACTCCCTTCCTATCACTCTGGAGCTTGTGATGGATTAGCCACTTTTTGACCTGGCAGAGAGGCTCATCATCCTGCCTTCTGCCAGGAGTAGCTAATCCATCATGAGCGCTGGAGCAATAGGGAGTGCAGAGTCTGCAGCAGCAATGGAATTTTGAGCAGTCGGTCTGGCCCCAGGGGGCCGGACTCTCATTATCTGCACCTGTGTGGGGAGGGATATTCATATTCATCTATGAATATGAATACCCCCATCTCTATTCATTATGCAACTTACACAATCCTGATTTGGTCTATATTTATTTCATATTATGACCATGGCAAAAAATTAAAAAAAGGTTGAGAACAGCTGGTGTATATTGAGCTATCTAGTATTGGCACTCTGCCTCTTTATGATTATAGGAATTTACATGTCTTTATAGAATCTACATTCTTGTACCAAACGCTATTCCTGCTGCATATCTAAACACTATCTAAACAAGAGGCCACTCTGCCTCCCCTTCTTAGCCCCTCCCCACCAGGAGGCACCCCAGGTCTTTGGTCCATGTTCATGGACAATAACTTCAGAATCATCTTCATGATATACTTGATGGACCAAAAGATAGTTATATGAACAGCACAATCATGTTGAGGGAAATTTTCATATATCGAAATCTTTCCCAGAACACAGAACCCTGAATGACACTGCAGTTTGCCATGTGATTTCCACATTCCAGTCCCAAGGACTGTACTTTCACAAATTCATCACATTCCTGAACACTTTAATAGACTATTCAGCTTTTCATTTACATGTAGCCAAACTGCAGAACCAAACATGGATTTATTAACAACCCAATTTCAGTCTTTAAAATAACTCATCCTGAATCTGTCACGGGCAATTTGAACTTAATAGGCAAACCAGGAGTAGTAGTGTTTACTGTAGAATTTAAAAACCTGCCAAACAATCATGGAAGGTTGCTGCTTAAGACGCAATGAACTGCTTACAGCATTTACACACCAAGAAATTTGATGTTTCAATTCTTTATTGAAAAAAAAAGTCCCAAAACACCAGAGCCCTGTAGCAGCAAGAAGTACATAAAGACTACACATATAGTATTGTTTATCTTTAATCAGTACTGGTTATTAAATTATTGCATATGTGAACAAATCAATAAAATACACACTTGTCACTGTACTTTTTCAGTAGTATTCTGTATTTTAATTTCTTGTCTCTAAAAAAAACAACTGGTTTTCAACCTGGCCATCAAGAAATTTCTCTGGGTTGCAACAACTAAGATAAGATGGAATATAAGTATACAAAAACTCTGAGATTCTTTCACAGTTTCTAGTTATTTAGCTCTAGATGTGAGTACACTACACCAATCCAACAGGTTTTGGAACATCTTTACTGAATTGAAAAGCCAAGTTGAATGATGAAAACCTATAAACAAGAGAAATCCTGTAGTGGTGCCTTGCCCCAAGACGATTTTTCCAGAAGACGATTTTCGTGGAACGAATTAAAATCGTCTTATGAGGCACCACTGTCTATGCCTACTGAGAAGTAAATATCACCACACCAGATGGAGCTTATTCCCAGATTGCAAACCTATACAGACTTTCCTAGGAGTAAGTCATAGTGAATACAGTGGGTTTACTTTGAAGCAAACATGCCACAGTCGCATTACATTTCTTTACAGTGGTCCTGGCTATCCTTATCTGACTCATGGAATAACAGGACACACTGCTATATGCAGTACATCAGATGAAAAAACATTATAGTAGTCTCTACCTGATCCTATTCTTTTATTTAATATAGAAAGCTTCAACATAGACCTATTATACAATTAAAATACTTCATAATTGGCCCAACTACATCATTTGGTCTCAATATTTTAAATATTTAATCCATCAAAAATATACAGTTCAACATGGTTCTACTGCTTATTTTGTGCAGCAGGCTACATGCTAAAACTATGCAATTCAGTGCTCAGTATTACTAAATGATTAAAAATTCACACAGCTGGTGGGTTTCAGTTACTAACATTCTGTTAATTTAAGAAGGCTCAAAATGGCTAATTACTTAGAGATTATTGGAAGTTGCTTATAACACCCTCCTTAGAGCTTTTCTTTTCTTTTAAAAAACATGATCTATATATCTTATCTTCCAAATGCAGAGCTGGAAGGGACCCTATGGACCATTTAGTCCTGCCCCTGTCAAGGAGGCACAGTGGGGAATTACACCCCCAACCTCTAGCTCTGCAACCAGAAACCTAAACCACTGAGATAATGTAAACAAATAGATTTTATTTTGACATTAGTAAGAAAAAAATCTAGATACCCAGTGTGGAATAGCAGATAGAGTGATGGAGGCCTGAGTTCATATCTTCACTCAGCTATGGAAACTCACTGGGGTGTGTGGAACTGGTAAAAACCACTTCTTAAATATATCTTACCTTCAAACTTCTATTAAGGTTGCTTTAAGTCGGTTCTGACTTGACATTACATAAAAACAAAGAAAAATCTATTCCCATCATCTCTCCATACTGGCACAATAGTTGTACAGTATTTGACTGCATGTTATTCTAGTCATTCAGACATGTGTTAGGGAATACTTGTTCACATTGACTACTAGACATTTATAGCTGAACACTGACATCCAGTGGATAACCAGACTAATGCAAATAGTCCAGACTAGGTGTTCTCAGATTTCAATATAAATTTCTCTTTAGTTGTTTGTGAGATGGAGATACCATTAGGACGTAAGAGGCAGGTTAGTATAGGAAATGACAAAGGCAGGGGTCCATACTACAAGCTTCCAAAACATGATTTCTACTGAAAGAAGAACCAGTTATATGTGCGCTTATCCTTCATCAGAAGAAGTAAAAATATTGTGAAACAAAGCACTAGAAGGTAAAATTCTGAAAACTAGTTGAGACAAGGGGGCATAAGCAAGGTTGTCTACCTGCAGTGAAGAAGATTTCTCCTTCCTCCATTTCATCCTCCCATATCTGCTCTAAAGGTCCGTGTATACCAGTAAAACAGATCAGGACACTGGGGGTGGGAAGGCAGGGGAAATCTTACTGCAAACTGATGGCCATTCATGTGATATTAGATGTAGCCCAAAAATCACTACCAAAATTCACTACCTAGATATATTGGAAATAAATCTCAGCAGAACACATTACTTGTTTGAAGTACACGTTAGGCTACAAGTTCAATATCTCACTGATAAAAAAAACTCTTTCTGGACAAGCCACTAGCAAAACAATGCTTGAGCTTCAAAAATCTAATTGAACAGACTGATTGCAGACTGATTCTTGCATCATCTTTATGAGCAGCTGTAAGTGACTGAAAAACTTCTTGGATTATGCTTATTTTCTTTTTTTAAAAAAATTAAAAGGTTAAATAAAAGCAAGAATATTTAATTCTCAGATATGACTTGAGAACCTGGATAACACAATCAGTATGTAAGAAAAAGCGAGTCTTCTCCAGTATTAGCCCACTTCTCTAGCAAATATATGTCTGACAAGCTTGCTGACATACTAGTATTCACACTTGCTTCAAAACCCACAATAAAAACACATCTGCTGATCACCAACTGTCTAAATATCAGAAAATAGGTTCTGTAGGCAGAACACTAACAGCAAACTGCTGCAAGCCAAGTATGTAAGTTACAAGAGAAGAGAAAATTAAAAACATGTGTAATTTTTTTTGTACACTGCATGCGTCTTACCTGTTTAAACAGAAATAACACAGTTTTGCAATTTTTTCCAGCTGTCTGGAAGTCAGTATAAAAATATACAAATTATAGGAATGATTGCTGTTAGGACGTCAATCCTTGAAATATTAAGCAAGAGGCTCCCTGTTACAAATTATTCACAAATGAGGTAAGAAAGTGTTCAAGATGTCATTAACAATATAAATTTATGATCTAAAACATGCATAGAAACTTGTTCATCAAAAGTACACATTTCACTTAGCCACAAAATTATGACTGCCTTTTATGCAGATGGTACATACTTTAGTGCCAAAGAACAAGACTTGTATTTGTACCCAAAATAAAGATTTTCAGTTTTAAATAATGCCAAATGGGAAAAAATTACTAGAAAAACAGGAGTTACAAATGCTGAAAATAGCTTATTAAAAGTGTATTTAAAAACAGTTTACAAATTTGTGTTGATGAGTACAAGTTTGAATTTTAAAGAAGAATTTGTAAAACCACATAGAAATCCCCCTGTAAACTTTTCTTCTGAGGAAGCATTAAGATGTTCAAGAGAGATCTGTAAAAGATTTAAGAAAATTATCTGCTACAAGATGTTTCCAGGATAAAGCAAACAAAGATCACATTTCTCCTTAAATTTTATCTATATTATTAATTCTGCTGTCTGCGTTTTGCCGATCTCATCTTTTCAAATCGTGACTCCATCTCTTCCAGGACTTTGGGTGTATATCGTACAACCAGCTTAACCTTTCCTTGAGCTGCTTTTAGCAGTTCCACAGCTTTTTCATGGTGTTCCCCTTCAACACTCTGAAACAAAATATAAAAATTAACCATTCTATTAGTAAAGAAGAGAAGGCATTCTTATTTCAGCAGTTATTTATAAAATCATAAAAAACCCTTCATTGCAAACTATAAAGATGAGAGGTTATGCTTGAGAAGCCATTAAAACATGCAGCAGGCAGATTTCCATTTATTTTATATTTTAAGCTTAAGCACATCATTAAGATAAAGCTTTAGTCATTCTAGGTCTCAGTTAAGATGTAGCTTATCAAACCGTAGGTCGTTAGCACAAAGTGGGTTCCAATATATTCCTGCATTAGTCACAAAGTAAGTTCCCCCTGCCCCTTACAATTTACAGGGACTTTTGATCTATTGGCCAACAGCACACCATTATTGTTCCCACTTCTTCCTTCTAAAACGTAAGTCAATGAACACGGCATCTACTAAAATAAAAAAATGAAATATAAAATATAAACCCATTCGGTATTCATTACTTTGTTTTTGCTGTTGTTGTTTTTGTTATAATAGAGAATAAAACAAAGTTTAAAAATCCATTTTGATACAGTGAGCCAAAAAGTACGTCAGGAATCTACATCTCAATCTAGAGGACAGGCTCTGCCTGTATATAGATTAAGACTGAGTTCCTAACCAGGCCCATAAAGATCAAATTCCAGAAACTCCGATCTCAACCTTTTAGTAGCTCCTTGTGATACCTGCAACCTTGACTATTTACATATATGGCTTCACATTTTCATCATGCCAAAAGTCAGAGGCATTTAGCATGGCATTCACACAGTAAACCATTTGATTCTGTAAACTAAGTAAAATCTAGAAATAGAAACGAGCCCCACAGGTAGAGACAGAGGAAAAAACAGAGAAGCAAAAACTTCAGCACCATAAAGGCTGTTTAGTATACAAGGTATCATTGGGCTGGATCAGACTTCCCATGCTTAAACACACTGACCTCAAAGGGACATATTTTACTCAAAACTAACTTGTTCTGGGGTCAGTAAAATGAGTAACCAGCTTTCGGGGGGGGGGGGGGGGGGANNAGGCAGGTAATGTGTAGCCTGCATAATTACATTGTAATCTGCCCACAGTATGCTTTAAATGCTATGGGGTGGGATAGAAGCAGCACACTTTGCCTTTTGCTTTGTTCCATTGCTTTCAGTGAGTTTCCTGTACCCATGAGTAAATATAGGTCCATCCCATAAAAAGAATCATTTTAGTTCTTTGCTAATCAACCACCCTCTAATTCTTCTAAGAGTGCATAGCCCCTGTTAAGCAATTCAATATGGTTCCGCATGAAATCATGAATTTACAAATGTTAATCTAAAATACTCTGGCTGGAATCCTGTTGCTGTGTCGTATTGCATGAGGCTTTATGATGTCTTTTTAGAAATAAACATTTCCAATTCCTACGGTGAAGGTCCTGAGGCTCTTGTGGAATTCCTTCCATTATGGGGAAGTTGTTGGGGGCTGTAGGAAGAGGGGCTGTCTTTGATTACCAAGAATTGCTGTCCTAGGGATGATTTAATGATGGCGGTGATATTTGACTATTAATGACTCCACCCCCATGGCTCCAATGATGGAAGAGATTCTATGGGATTTGAGCGACTCCATAACAACTAAGTTTGAATTATATTTTGTATATTTTTGTGAAGAACGAAAACCACACTTTTCAAATTGCAAAGTGTACACAAGTCCAAGCAATCAATGTCCCCACAGTGCCCTCAAGCGGTCAGAAGTAGCTACTACAAGTGGAAGTTAAATTCCATCCCTACCACTCCGTTTACAGAAAGAAGCTGGTCTCCACGCTTCAATCCCCCGTGTCTATCAGCAATACCACCTGGGATAATTCGGGATATATAGATTGGAGAATTTTGTTCTTTGCCGCCCATGATGTTGAATCCAAGCCCTTCTTCTGTTTTCGGCAGTTCAACAACTCTGGGATGGGAATGACCTTCACTAGCAGCAAAGGCAGCAACAGTGGCCTGGAAGCAAGAGAGAACAGAGAATCCCAGGTTTTCTTTAGTAGTTTCAGCAAACTCTCAAGTCTTCTAGGATTGCTCAATTTATTAGTAAATACTTCAAAGCATCATAGGCATCCTTCAGTCTCGAGAGACTATGGTAACATGCTCTGTATAGAGAAGTGTCCTCTCCAGAGCATGAAGCCTGGGTAAAGTAATATGGAGGATAGGCTGTTACCCAAGCAGCAGATCCCCCCTCTCCACGTTGCTGAAATAGTCCAATGGAAAGGCAAGAGCCAATACAACTGGTTCCAGCAACGTCGCAGGAGTTGGCAGAACAACACAAACTGCCTTCGGGACTCCAGCTCCGGTGTTAATGTATAAAGCCCTAACAACCAGAGATCAAGTCAAGATGCCTGAGAGAACAACACCTCTGCTATTAATCTGCTTGGTTTGAGCCCAGAGCTCATCAAAAGAGAGCTCATCAGCCTGACGTTTATTTGAAAGCATTCTGCTAAATACTACTAAGGTGAATTTGGCTATAAACCCTCCAAACACATTTCTGAGCATTCTCAATCTGGGGGGTTGTGTTTTAGGTTAATAGAATCAAAGTACAAAACAAATACAAAACAAAACAAAAATAAACTAATGAACATGAGTCTTTTCTTATAAAGAAAGAGCAATCTGTTTCCACTTGCAAGTTTTTATATGGTTAGCACATGCAATTTCTTCATAAAAGACACTTCAATACTACAAACAAGCACAACAAGTTTAAGAAGCAGCAGCCTCAAATGTGAATCAACCAAATGGTTGTACATTTGGTGTACTACCAAATGCAAGCCTATTGCCTGAGCCTTCTAAAATAGGGGCAGAAAGTAAGTCAAACATATGAAACATTAGTGACTATTAACTACTTCAGTGCTTTAATTAAAAAAGCTAGGTAGAAGTTCCCCTTGATATTTAGTCCAGTTGTGTCCGATTCTAGGGCGTGGTGCTCATCCCTGTTTCCAAGCCATAGAGCCAGCATTTGTTCAAAGACAGTTTCCATGGTCACGTGGCCAGTGCAACTAGACACAGAACACCATTACCTTCCCACTGTGGTGGTACTTATTTATCTACTCACATCTGCATGCTTTCGAACAGCTAGGTTGGCAGGAGCTTGTACAAGCAATGAGAGCTCACTCCATCGTGTAGATTTGATCTTACGACTGATAGTCTTCTGACCCTGCAGCACAGAGGCTTTCACGGTTTAACCCACAGCGCCACCATGTCCCTATTAAAAAAGCTACGAATGTACTAATTTTCCATCTATCTTAACTCTTTAATTCAACAATTTGGTTCACAATGATCCTAGCACTCACTATAATCAGCACTACAACGTATTTGCAATGACCCTTAAATTCATAGGCAAGGCTTTATCAAGAAACATAGTTCAAGGATAGCTGCTACTCTCATTTGGGATATTTTCAGATTTTAAGTTTTTTTAATAGATTGGGATGCTCTGATAAGCTTTAACATTTTAGCCCTTCATTTCCTTTCCACAAATTAACAGGACTCTTACCTTTGCTGTAGCATTTGCTCTCACTTCTGGGCTACTGCTGATGTCCACGGTCTCATATACATGCTCGTATACCTTCAGAAGAAAATATTATTCAGAAACCTGGTTAACTCGGCAGACTAAAGTGAGCCACAAGAATAACATTTCTGAACAAAATACAGTTTGACTATAATTTTGAAAATACAACTGAATCCTAATAAACCTTGAGCTTTTGCAGCTGCTGGATTTCCCGCCCCCCCACTCAACATTTTAAGATTATGTCAATTTTATATCTGAGATGGGGAACATGCTTTGTACACACTTTTAAAACAAAACTTACCTCCCTCACTGCATTACAGAACTCACTCTGAAGGACCCTTTGCAAAGCCTGTAATTTTTGTGGGGGTAGCTCTCCACTTCTTTGCAACTTTTCCAGCAATTCAATAGCCCGACAAATATCTGTAGAAAGAAATGAACAGAAATTATATGAGCCACTACGTTTTTATGAGAGGACATCAGTAATTTACCGACATGGCAGCCAAGAATATTTTCTCCCTTTCTCAAAACTAGGTCTTAGACTCCATACTGCTCTGGCTCTAGAATTGTTTTCTGATAGTCTCTTTTCCATGACAAGAATGTTTCTATTAATCATTTCTTTACTTACAGCAGACCTCCCTATTCTATCCCCTTGTTCATTATTTTCCTAAATAATATATTTGAAAAATAATAATGCTAGGATTTAATATATGCCTAGAGTTGCAATCTCACAATGTTCAGTAGGAGCAAGGCTTCAATGAACATGGTGACAATTACTTCCAAGCAATGTATAAGACTGCACTGTAAAACATAAAAAGTGACCTGAGTGTTCCCGAATCTTCATTGAAGGCAACACCAAGGAAACCTCAACTCTTTCACTACCCTTTTTGTCAATGTCTGGGTGCTTAACCCAATATCTAGGTTTGATCCTGAATGAGAGTGCAGATCTGGCCTGGATCACTGAGACTTGGGTAGGTGTACAGGGCGGTGTGGCTCTCTCTCTAATCTGTCCACCCTGGTATTCCATCCAGAATCAGATTAGGCTGGGGGCATGAGGAGAGGGAGTTGCCAACGTCTACAAAACACCACGGAGGCTGTCTCTGCCTTGGCGATCCCAGGCCTGGAGGCCCTCCACATGTCGGTGGGGATCAGTGATGGATCTCAGATTGTGCAGGTCTCCCATGCTCCTCACGACCCAACACTCTCAAAGCTGGTAGGTTTTGTCTTGGTGGCACTGTTGAGATCCCTCAAGCTGTTTGTGCTGGGGTATTTCAACATCCATGCAGAGTCTGAGGTCACTGGACTAGCTCTCGAGTTCCTGGAAACCATGGATTCCTTGGAAATATCCAAATATGTCAACAGCCCCACCCACATAGCAGGTCATATGCTAGATCTGGTGATTTCAATGGGGCAGGGAGAGTGTGACCCAAAGGTGACTGACCTTGTATTGGTCCCCTTATCATGGTCAGATCACTACCTGATCAAATGCAGACTCTCAGTGATGCTTGATATAGTCAACCATGGTATCCTTCTGGGGAGGCTCTCTTTGGATTGGGGAGCAGTGGCCTGGCTTTGTCCTGGCTCTGGTCTTTCCTAGAGGACCATCCTCAGAGAGTACAACATGAAGAGATGGTGTCCACCCCTTGGACTCTTAAAATTGGATTCCCTCATGGTTCAAATCTCCCCACTGTTGTTCAATATCTATATGAGGCCGCTGGGGGGGTACGTTTTGGAGATCTGGTTCACCAATATGCAGATGACACCCACCTCTTTCTCTCATTCCACCCTTCTGCAGAGGGTGCCTTCCCATCCCTTGAGCGCTGCCTGGATGCTGTTCTGAGATGGACAAGGGACAAAAGACTGAGCCTGAACCCGGACAAGACAGAAGTCTCAAGGATGGGTGCCCCTAGTGTCTGTGGTTTGGTGGCTTCCCTTTCCTTTGGGGGGCTACTCTCACTGCTAAGGAGGTGGTTCGCACTTCTGGACCCAGTGCTACCAGTGGAGTCTCAGGTGGCATCTGTGGTCCATTCCGCCTTTTTCCACTTGAGGTGGATTGCCAAGCTGCCTCCCGAAACTGACACTGGATCCTTCACTATGCTGGTCCATGCAACGGTACTCTCGAGATGAGAGTACTGTAATGCTCTCTATGTGGGGCTGCCCATGAGGCTGCTACAGAAACTTCAACAGGTCCAAAATATGGCAGCTAGATTACTGAGTGGAGCAAATAAATACTATCATATCTCCTCTATTCTGGTACTTTGCACTGTTTACCTATTTGTTTCTATGCCAGCTTCAAGGTGATGATGCTGACATACATGGCCTTAAACGGTTTGGGATCTTGATACTTGGCAGAACACCTTCTTTCAGTGAGATATGCCTGACCTACCTGATCTTCCTAGACCATGTGGTTGAGAACATTAACCCCAAGAGAGGCCTGGAAAGAGAAGACCAGAAACCAGGCCTTCTCAGTGGTTGCTTGCCACCATTGGAATAACCTTCCCACCTGAAATATGCCTTGCCCCTTCACTGGGAATTCCTAAGAGATCTTTGAAAACATGGATGTTTAGACAGGCTTTCCCAGATATTATACTGACAGAGCACGAGCATAGTGGTGCTTTCAGTGCTTAAGTTGGTTGCCCCACCACTGTGTCTTTTTAAATTGTTTTTATAATTTCATCTTGCCTTTTTCCTAGTTTTAAGTTGATTGATATGTTTAATTTGATTTCTTATATTGTTATTATGTGAATTTTATTTAAAATGCCATGTGTTTTTTATTATGTTGTGAACCACCCATAGTAGCCTTGGAAGCCAGATGGGCACTACAGAAATTGAATGAAATAAAACTCTCTGTGCTCTTGAAAGAGCTTTATTTTATGTTTTGCTTTTCAAGTAACAAAAGGAAGAGCTGAAATTTTGGTCCCTTCAGTACTGACAAAGCACTTTCAACACAGGTTAGTTGATGTTTAAGCGCTTGAATTTCATGGTAGAAACTTGTTAGCAAACTGGAATCCTTTTTGCAATGCAAGAAAGCTCTATTTCTCAATAACAAGTAGCAAGTCTTCCTGAAAGCCAAACTTGATTCATATTTCCAATCCTTCCTTGTGAAGTGTCTATGCAGAACACAATACCATCCTAACACTAAAGCACAAGTGCTCACCTTGGCTATGAGCATGCTTAGATAGCAAGGTCTGGTACTGTATACATTTAATGCAAAATATAGGCACCCTAAAATAGACAGAAGTCTCAATAAACAACAAAGAGTGATTCCATAGAAAAGTACATGCAAGCTGCTTTACAAGAACGAATGGAGGAAGCAGGAGAGAGCAAATGGCCAACTTGTTAACAGGCTTGAGTTCTAACCAATAAGACTACCACAAAGACTTAAGACTATAAATCTTTGGAAATGGAGCTTGAGAGCCCACAGAGAATTTCCAACATGGATTATAAAGTTATGATAGTTAAAAGTGCAAAGGTCATACTAAAAGAAAAGGTTATCAAACAGTCCAATGGATTGCATTTTTTTCTCTCTGTTGGAAGAGTCCATTGAGTTGCTATTTTCTCCCTACAGGAACTGAGAGTCTCAAATTTCTCACAATGAGATACTAACAAAAGAAGCTAACAATTACTATGTTCAAGCTAAGACAATATAGATGTAAGAAGAGAGCTCTAGCAGTGAAAAAATTGTTAACAGAAGTCTACTTGTCCTCTTTTACAAATCATCGCCATTCCAGGCCTCTATGAGAGGTGCTTCACTACCTCAGGAATCCTGTAGAGCTTTACAGATCTCCGACCTAGGCCAAGTACAGAAGCATATGGTTCGCAACAGCTGACATTATCCCGCTTCCAAGCAGTGTCTTTGTTTACTTATCCCACTTAGTAGTGTTCATGACTGCTAAAAATCAGAGATATAAACAACTGTATGGCGTTACCTCTGCTTGTAAGAGACCAATATGTCTATTTACATCAATTATCCGTAAGATGTTAGGTTTAGCTATTTTCATATCTCTTATGCATATGTTAGAGAGCAGAACAAAATAACTATTTGTCAAAGAAATGTTATTATTTCAATGATCTTGTTCTTTTGGAATTGATTCATTGCTTAAAAACCTTTATAGTAAACTATACTACAGTGTAGTATGTTCAGGCTGTACATATATACTATACTTCTAGAGCAGTTTTTAGGGCAATTTTCTATAGCTCCCACATAACGCTCTTAAATAGACATGCTATCAGACCTTGACGGTCAGACGCACATACCATTCCATAACAGCAGGATGAATCCCTAATTCTGTTTGTTAATAGGAAGTCATTTAGGGGATTCTACAGAGCAAACGGTTCACAGAAACACACAGTCCTTTAACTTTTCCTCTCCTAATTCGAACACTTTGTAAAAATCCACTTTCCCATTGAGCTATGTACTAATTCTGCTCTATAATAATAGATCCTGCATGGTGGTACTTCTTGTTAAAAAAAACACCTCAGCCAGTGGTGGGATTCAGACGGTTCGCACCAGTTCCACAGAACCGCTACCTAAAGTACTATGAGTTCTGCAGAACCGTTTTTTGGCCTGCTGAATCCCACCACTGCTCGTAGGTGCGTGTGTGCGAGAGAGAGAGGAAACAAGGTGTTCAGGCAGTGCATGGGCTTCTCTTTGAGGGCCCTTGGGGTGAGAGGTCGTTGTCGCTGCTGCCGCTGCTGCCAGGGTGCCTGGAAGGGGAAGAGAGTTGTGTGTGCTTCACGGGGCCGCTGGCTCCCTTCCTTCCTCGGTCGCTCCAGCCATGTCCTACTGCAGGCAAGAGGGGTATGCACAGCAATGAAAGAGAAGGTGGTTGCCTAAGGGGGCAGAAAACCCTCGAGGGGGTCCACTGGCGATCCCTGTGGTGAGGCGGAGGGCGAGGCCCATCATGGGGAGCGGAAAGAGGGGTGCCTGTTGGCCTTGAGTAGCGGTCTCTTGGGTGGGGTGGGAGGAGATGACGGGATGAAGAGACAGCGTGTCTGTGTGGTTCCGAGTGGGAAGAGAGTTTGTCTCTACGAAGCCTGAAAAAATGAAGGAAGAAGAGAAATGAAAGAAGACTTGTACTTTGTGGCACCTGAAAGACTCCTATATCTGAACATGGGCTTTCATGCATTTATAAATGTATACATATTTTGTAGTCTCCCTCTTATGTCTGAGTAAAGTGGACCTGATCTATGAAAACTTACATTAAAATATAGCAATTAATCTTTAAGGTACCACAAGGCGGTTTTCTTTCTTTCTTTCTTTCTTTCTTTTTACCCAATAAACAAGCACAGATTAGCACAGCTACCTCTTCTATTATCTTTGATAATGTTATCTAAGTACAAATGGTATCACAATATAACCCAGTTCACTCTATTAGGATAGCATAGATAGTATGCAGTCCTATGAAAGCATGTTAACCTAT